ATTCATAGGATTGCCGTACATCAGAGGTGACTTGACAGCACATAACAACAGCAACAACAAAAGCCTATCAGAATCATTTCTCTGAAACACTTAACAGGTTGTCTGTAATATTATTAGATTTTTAGAGTATAGCTTGGCTCTTAAACCGGTGATCTACACCAGGGGTCCCCAACCCCCAGTCTGTGGCCTGGCACCGGTCCGTGGCCGAGGCAGGACCAGGCCACGGACACAGATCTCCTGCCCCCCCATGAATTCCCCTCCCCGCGAGTGCGCCACGCTCTGTGCGAGTATGCCACGCCCACGCACATGCGTGCAAGAGTGCCACACCCACCCTCAAGCCCGCAATGCCCCCATGCGAGTGCGCCACGCCACCCGCGCACAGACCCTACCCCCCTCCAACTGGTCCACGGTTGGGAAAAGGTTGAGGACCACTGTTCTGCACTACTCAGTGCAATTTGTTACCGCTTTGTCATAGTTCCACTTAATAGAATTGTGAACTTTCGAACTTTGGTGAGGTGCTCAGAATTTTACGCTGTGGAAGTCCATTAAATCAGTGGTCTCCAACCTTGGGCCTCCAGATGTTCTTGGACTTCAGCTCCCAGAAATCCTGGCCAGCAGAGGTGGTGGTGAAGGCTTCTGGGAGTTGCAGTCCAAGAACATCTGGAGGCCCAAGGTTGGGGACCACTGCATTAAAGCACTCTAGCAGAAATATCTAACTACCTCACCAAACTACAAACCCCAGGATTCCATAAGATAGTCAAACTGCTACAGCTGTGTAGCACAGATGCAATGTCTCTGGGTGATACTTACAGAACATGACAAACACGTGATTCTTGTCATTAAAGGCAACTTTGTCGAAGTTCTTTCCAACAAGGACTTTCACGGGCTTCTTATCCCAGCCTTTCTGGATTTCCTCACTAGACCAGTGTTGCTAAGAAGAAGAAAGAGATAGAAGCTGAAAGCAAAGCAACACCATCGGGGCTTGTCCACGATGCCCTAGTGTGGTGGTTAAAAGGCAATATATCACCAAAAGGGCTTCCTGAGGTTCATCTGGCTGTATTTTTTTTTTTTT